CCCCAAAACCCCAAAACCCCAAAACCCCAAAACCCCAGATGAATCATATTCTCGATAATGTAGAAGCATAGATAAAATAAGATGTAATAATATATTTGCATAATTGAATTTTTCATGGAAGAATTAAATGTAAATTTCAAATCCTTCTCTGCTTCAAATTTCCTTTTTTATTAAACTCTATTTATCGCATTACTGTAGAATAATAGACCAAGAGAAAACGTATAAGATCGAGGAATTGGAGGCATGATAAACAACAGATAGCGATAAAATTAGGCTCCAAGAAGATTGAGCGAAAATACTTACAGTAATGTGATCAAATTTATTGGGTCTCTGAGATTGAACATTTTTCTGATGATTATTAATCTGGTGATGATATGCTCTTTCTCATTGCTAATTTATCATTAAAACTTCAGAGAATAGCCCTTCTACTTGGAGTGCATTTTTGAGACTGATAAGATTCCTTTCACTTATTCATTTGTAATTATCGTGGATTTTACAATTATAGAGCTTCGTGTTCGTATTATGTCATCTAGGTTTCTTATATCACAATGTTCTAGAAAAATCTTTCTTGGAATGGGTCGTCCCTCCACACAATTTCAACAACATAAATCAAAATGTAAATCCCTAATAGCAACCTCAGTAAAATTAACAAAAGGCTACAACTATCCTGGAGTTGCTTATTTAGGAAAATCTATACTACTACTTAGTGATATATTGGTTAATCGATCACAAGAATATCTATGCTACCTTTTTCGATGTCTTAGTTTTCGGAGTAGCCTACACCTTCTTTTCCTTTACTCATTGTAGTGGAGTATTGATTTAGGAATATATTAGAAAGGTATATTACTCAAGGATATATTAATTGTCATGTAGGTTATTGACACCCAGATATCATTTTCCTCTGCACTATTCTTAAGAAAGGACGAGAACTTCTAGAGAAGAATAAAGAAAGTAGATAACTATTTCAAAAATGTGATTGCCTATGAAATCTTGACAATAATCATTCTTCTGTGGCTGTTTTACTACGCTAATATTTTACTATTACTGCTTCTAATTGAGCCAGTAAGATATTAAGAGATGTTTATTTTATTTATAGGGAATTAAGAATCTAATCTAAATTTCAATGAATTACTACAATTTCAAGTTTTAGATGAATCAAGCTCTTTCTTACCAAGCAACTGATGATCAAATAATCACAAAAATGCATTTAAATTTCTTCACCAATATGAGCACTAAATTTTTAGACTTACTTTAGCACAGTATGATAATTTTCTTTGCTGGTATCTCATTCGGATATTTCCCAATGATCCAAGTTTACATTATGACTTAGGGCTACAATCAATTCAAATAATTTACTTAAGAAATAGATAAATATAGGAAATTCAGAAATTTCCTGAAAAACCTTAATCAAGATTATCCGATCGTTTACTTTGGCCCAAACGCCTAACAATAGAATAGAAGATTATCAGATGTCGATGCAGTTGAGCCAGGCAATAATCAGAATCATTAGCACAGTGAGGAAATCGAAGAATGCGCGATTTGCAAAGAACAAATGAATGTAGGAAGAAAACTTTCTTGTAATCACAGCTTTCATTGGTTCTGCATAATTTAATTGATTGAAAGCGGTAGTAAAAATTGCCCAATATGCCGGGCTGAGTTTAACAATAACAATCCAAACAGATAGCATTAGTAAAATCCAGGAGCCTAGAATAACGGCTAAAACAGTATTATGAGTTTCAGACTCAGAAGATGGTTAGGCAGATGGATGCCTGACATCTCGATCAGAATGATTAGATCAAGGCAAGCCCCAGTTATCCCTATGAATCAAGCCATAGAAAGAAGTAAGATAAATTATACCTCATTTAACGATATTGTTAGTTAGAGAAATTTTTCCATTTTTAACACAATTACAAATATCAGCAGAGATAAGGGGAGCTGGTGGTCACATTGATCAAGCCATACTTAATATTACTGAAAACATTCAAGGAGGAATGTATCCTGGTGTAAATATATGAATTGAATAAACACTCTGCAATGCTTAAAATATTGATCAAATATAAAAATCTGTGTTATTTAATAGTATTGCTAATCTGTCAAAAGCTTTATATCAATATAAATTCTTCAAATTATCATATTTTATGACTTTTTAACTCTGGGGTTTTGGGGTTTTGGGGAGATCGGAAGAGCGTCGT